ATGCCACACGTGGCCTTGAAGAAGCCAAGAGCCGTGGCAAGGAACTTCCTGAACTGCTCACTGTGAGGTATAGTCCGGGTGCAGGGCTGCTTAGAAGACCGCAAGTGTCTGCAAGCAAGCAAGCAAGCTTTGGCTGAGCAAACCTTGAAGCAAGTAGCCGAGCCAAAACGGAGGTGGAGTTCCAGGGAGAAAGGAACAACAAACCATTTGTTGAGAGTAGCTAGCATAGTTAGGGTTAGGATTTGTCTATTGTCTATTTTATTTGTAAACTCCCCCTGTTTGTTTTAACCTCTCCAATTAAACCTTTATGTTTTATAAGCTGGGAGTCTGAATGAATCTCTGGGCAGTAGAGACTGTTTATGTGCCCTCCTCGCCGCTCCTAAGCTGAGCCTGATAGTCTGGGGAAACAAAGGGGACTCAGGATATCTGAGCACGCTACCTAATTAACGTTGAGTCCCCAGCATAAACTGAGGTCCTAAGTCTGGGGGCCTATATTGCTCAGAAATATAAAGAGCAAGTTTATGATACAAACGCAAGCTAAAAGAGGCCATTGGACCACTTTTGGGAGTAAAGGAGAAACTCTGGAGGAGGAAACAGAAAAGGCAGACAGGCTTAATGACTTTTTTGCATTGGGCAGGGGGTTGGACTAGATGGTCTGTATGGCCCCTTCCAACTCTATGATTCTATGATTCTAAAAAGGCTAATCTTAACCTCTTTTATAAAGCCATTAATCTAACCTTTTTAACAGTTTCAATTAACTATCAAGATTAAAGTAACTTTAAGCAAACAGTGACAGTTGAAGAGTGTATGAACTGAATTTTCAGTTAACATGCCAAGTCACCAAGAAAAAAAACTGCTGGGATAATCAAATAATGCTATACCATGACAAAGTGAAAACCTATTCAGATATTTAGCATGGAAGTCTTCCTGTTTTCTAGTTTTAGATCTAAATCTGAGTGTCTGATTTTTCACGGTGTGGGAACTGCAACCAAGCTCCTGTGTGAATCTGAATTTTACATACGTAAATCTACTCAAACCTACTGCTAAGATCAGTTTAAGGCCAGCAACAATTAGGTCAAACAATCACACAGACATACAACAGAACAGAACATGAACTCAATTTTTAAGAAAACACGACACTGGCCACTTAAGGGAGAGTTTACTAGGTCAGCAAACATTCAGGTGTTCTCCAGTTACCTGCAGAAGTCATTAAAGGGCTGAAGCGTACACAAGTGCCCTCATCTTCAAGCTCTATCACGTCCACTCCACTGGCCGGCACTAACTGAGCCAACTGCTCCCCTAGCTGAAGACAAAATGTCAAGCAGAGAGATTTTAAAATATTTTTGTTTACATCCTGCTTTTCTTCCTTATCAGACCCCGAAGCAGCGTATCACTCTATTCTCCCTTCCCCATCCTCACAACAACTACCTTGCAAGGCAGGTTAGGTAGAGAGACCCAAAAGTCACCCAATGAGCTTCCACAGCAGAGTCGAGATTTGAACCTGGTTGTACAAAGTCCTAGTCCAGTGGTGGTGAACCTATGGCACGGGTGCCAGAGGCGGCACTCAGAGACCTCTCTGTGGGCACGCGTGCCATTGCCCCAGCCAGGCCCAGACTATCATAAAAGTGTCGAATTCTCTGCCAAATAATTTTAAGTAAATGAAGGCATTTGGGATTGCTTTCCTTACTTTGTTTGGATCATCTTAAGTTAATGTATGGGTTGTTTTTTTCTAAAGTAAAACCTCCGAATTTAGGTTAAATTGCTGTGTTGGCATTTTGCGATAAATAAGTGGGTTTTGGGCCGCAGTTTGGGCACTCGGTCTCTAAAAGGTTCGCCATTACTGGACCTAGTCCAACACTCTAATCACAATACCACACTGGATCCCAATGTTAAGGTCCTACCCATAGGTCACTGACTCTTTCAGGACCATTTTTGCCATCACAAAGATGGATAAGGGACTGGAGATCACTGTCAGGTTTTTGATCACCCAATTATCTAGGAGAAGAGCAAAGAATGCTTGTACCTACCCACTGATTAAATGTATCACAAACATATTTCTCATTGCCAGTTATCATAGGACCCTGGCCGGTGCATAACAGTTTATCTGGATTAAAAAAAAGGGAAAAAATTTAGCTTAGGATATTTTAGAGTGAACAATACAAGACAATACGAATCTTAGTAGCTCCATTTTAAAATCCAGCAACTCTAACCAACACAGATGCATTCATTACATAAATGCCTGAATTCAAAGCAGATATTGATTTAAACCTTCCAGTTATCATAGGACCCTGGCCGGTGCATAACAGTTTATCTGGATTTTTAAAAAAAGGGAAAAATTTTAGCTTAGGATATTTTAGAGTGAACAATACAATACAATACGAATCTTAGTAGCTCCATTTTAAAATCTAGCAACTCTAACCACACAGATGCATTCATTATATAAATGCCTGAATTCAAAGCAGATCTTGATATAAACCTCGTGATCCAGATTTAAGGTGAGGTAGCACCAGCCTTGTTGGTAGAGCCTAATGAAGGTTGGTGCTATACTAGTGGCTACCTCACACAACCATTCCCCCTTCCACTCTTGTCAGAAGGGATAGAGTGAGTCAGAGTGATGAGACTCCAAATGGCCAGAGAGAGCACTGTGAAGGTGAATGCGGGCCATGGGGGTGTGGGGGACTGTCACGAATTTTAGCATCTGGGGTGGCTCTTGGGTTCTCTGCCCCTGGAAGTGTGACAGGGTGGTGGCTTCACCAGAGGAATGCCTGTGGTGGTCCCTTAATATCCTTTAGATAGAATCTGTTGGAGTAGAGAACCAAGAGAGATGATGAAGATGACAAGGGGGAGTGGCCTATGTTTGCATTTTTATTGTTCCTTCCTGCTTTCTGAAGCCCTCCTGAACTTTCTTAACAACCTTGTTGGTGATATAGGAGCAGATATCTGGGTGGAGGGTTGCACCATCAAAAATTCGGGGGGGGGGACAGATTGGGGAAGGGAGACGGAGCCCTGGGAATGCTGTAATTGCCCCCCAGTCCCTTCACTGGTTACTTGGTACATGAGAAGTCTTGTTGCTGCCAATCTTTCAGAGCTTCAATGCCCCGGAGTTTCTCCTGCCCACTTGAGTTTTATTTATTACTTAGATTTCTAGGCCGCCCTCCCCTGTGAGTTGAGTTGGAGGGGTTCGTTGCCTCTGAATCAAGACAGTCACCGATCTGCTCTGATGGTGCTTCCCCTGTACACTTGAAGGGCTTGGCTGGCAAGCTCTTCTGGTAGTCAATGCACCAGCTGTTCCTCAAACGTAAGGAGCGCCAGTGTGGGCAGGAAGGACCAGCCATTCCCATGACTTGGGAAGCCAGCACAGGCAGGGTATCTGCTGTGGAATAGCAGTCATTATGGCAGCTGGGTGCTCAAACAAGCTCTCCTGGCTCCAATAGGGCATCCTCGTGGTCTGCACTCAAAAGGTGCCAGGGTGGGCCGTCACTACACCTTAGGACGTTTTGGAGTCCTTCACCATCTGGTTGTCCTTTGCTCCTTTGCTTGCCTAAAATGCCTCTCTCTTTTTTGCAGAGCTGTGGAGTTTTGTCTGATGTGGAGCCAGGCAGGGCATGGATGGGGCTTGCCCCCAGATGGATGTGAAGGCACTGTGAAACTATTGTCATAGGCCTGCCTGTTGAGCAAGTAGGGGCTGTAATGCATTTCAAGATGCCTTCCTCCACTGATGAAGAGTGGTCTTATTTTCCAGTAGCCAAGAAGTGACTTGGTATTATTGACTTAGAGAATTCTGTGGTGCCTCTCAATAATAAAACAATAAAAACATAATAAAACAACAAAAATAAATACAACACCATTGAAACACAGTTCTAAAAACTCACCCAGAGCATAAAACCATAAAGCTACAAATGAGTGTTGCATTTTTCAAGCTAAAAGCAGACTCTGAAAATGCTGTTTAAAGATCTACCTCTTCATTAAACGTCTGGGTAAAAAGAAACATTTGGGCATGGCACCTAAAAAGAGAGTAGCACAGATTCCAGCGCCAGCCTCTGAAGACAGTGGCGCAGAGAGCAAAGGCTTGTGAGGAAGATCTTAACCAGACAGTATGGGAAGAGGCAATCCTTCAAGTATCCAGGCCCCAAACTATTTAGGGCCCTATAGGTAAGAGCCAACACTCTGAATTGTGCCCTGATGTAAGGAGACAGGCAAATGGAACCAGTTCAAAACAGTTTCTATAGGTGATTGTACCACTGTTAATTTAAACAACTAGAAGTCTGCTAAATTTTTAAAAATTCAATGTAGGTTATATCCCTAAAATCATAAATCTTAACCCTAGATGCCTGAAACATCTATAATGCTCTACGGTGGCAAACCCTGCCCAAGGAAAAGCATTCACACATATGGTTTGGCCCATGGTCAGTCACAGTGGCTGCAATCCACTGGCATGGACACACAATTCTTATTTATTTGAGTTCTACCCTGCACTTTGATGCAGAAAGATCCCCAAGAATAAAATCATTGAATAATAAAATACAATTCATTTGCAGATACTTCCATTGCCTCTAACACAGCAACCTTCTGGAGTATGGGAGTGGTGGAGGGATGCATATCTTATGACTCCTCCTAATGTATGCCCAAGGAAAGGCAGCATGGTATAGCCCGATCTTGTAAGATCTTGGAAGCTAAGCAGGGTCGGTACTTGAAAGAGAGAAGGCAGTGACAAACCACTTCTTCTCACTTGCCTCATCACTTTATGTCACCTTGCAGGACACCTTCTCCAGAGCGTGGGGATGTGTCCTTTGGGGTAGTCCAAAGATTATTTTGGGGTGCAGCCTGGCTCCAGTGTCTGCTTGTGTGATTGTCCTAGGGGCATTGCACTTTGGAGCAGCTGGCACCAGAACTGTGCTTTGGACCAGGATACAGCATATGTCCCCTTGAAGGGGAGAGTCCCGTGAATGTGGGGCTATATGATATGTGGTGGTCCAGACCTTATTTTGGGGTTCAGAGCTTTCCAACTCACTCTCCTTAGTGTTTCTGAATGACTACACGAATAAGGAATGAATAAGGAAGTGCGAATAAGGAACCAACTTCAGCCTCCTCCTTGAAAGCCCCTTGCTGGGGTTAACATAAGTTGGCTGGATCTGACAACGCATATGTACGTACATAATATGTCCTGTGTCCACCAGGGAAGGGCTACAGCTCAGGCAAAGGGCTTCAGCTCAGCAGCTGAACACATTCTGTGTCTCCAGAAGGCTCAGTCTTCAGCACTTCCTCAGGCAGCAGATGCTGGCAAAGATCCTGGAGAGCTGCTGCCATTCAGAGGGGACCTAACATGGCCGGATGGGCTTCTTGGAAGGCTCCCTCTAAGCTGTGGAGTCTTGTGAGCAACAATTCTACTTTGTGAGCGACTGGCATTAAAGTTGTGAGCAAGCGATTTGGCTGCTGCATCAATTAGTTTGCTCTGGAGCCCTCCTTCCTGAGCCAAGACAAAAATGTGTGAGCCGGAGGCTAAAAAACTGTGAGCTAGTTCACACTAACTCAGCTTAGAGGGAACACTGGCTAGCCGCCTGGCTCACTCTATGGCAGGTTGTTTGTTTTATCCCCAAAACATCTGCATGAGCAAAGGACCAACTGCCTAGTTACTGTTTTTGTTTTGCTTTTTGACTTTTCTATCACTTTAATTTTTATCCTGCCCTTCCTCCGCAGATGTTAGGGATTTCTCCCCTTCTGCATTTTACCTTCATCGGAACCCTACAACACAAATTAAGGCTGAGGCACCAAGGAGTCTCATGGCCAACTGGGTATTTGAAGCCAGGTCTTGTAATCTTATACTAACCATGGCACCATACTGGGAGAAGAGGCAATAGAAATGGAGTCAAGGATAAAATATGTGCAACCAAGAGTCCTATGCAATTTGGGCCTTGTAAATACTTATTAAAACTGGCGACAGGCTGCTATCCAAAACTGCTATTTATTTCAATACAAAACAGACGTACCATGCATTCAAACTGCAAAAAATATTTTCATCATAAAATAAGGGCATGCAAGGTTCTATTTTTAGCAGTAAGTTGACATACCTAAATGTGGAAGTTCAGGGGAAAATCTGAATACCACCACTGGAGAACTAAGTTCATCTTCCACCTTGGAAATGTTATTTGA